GTGTTCTTTGGTCTTTCTCTTTTCCTTTGACCTTCAGGATTCCATGTGAGGGCTTGTCTTGTGACGCAGTCGGGTGCTTTCCTTAATGTGAGTCCTATCCAATTCGAGCGCTTCTTCCTGATTTTCTCCTCTGCTGGGATCTGGTTTGTTTAGAAGAGTTATGACGCCTCATGATGAAAGCCGAGTTCCATCAGCCTTTACTCTAATATATATGAATATTTATACGAAAATGTTAAACCAATCAAGACAATTTAAGCCAACAATCACAATGAAATAGAACACAACAGCAAATAATTGGTAAAAGTATAAGTTGGTAGTAAGAAGATCAGTGTACTGATAATAGTAAGAATAATAAAATACAATAACAAAAGTCATATCAATAGTTAACACATCTAATTGATAGTGGTCATAATGTAGATAAATCGAAGTCATTTCGAGTGATCTATCGTATACCACTATCATTTCCCAATGGATTTCGTTCCTGTCTCTTACGTATAGCTGAAACCATAGGAATTCGTACATTTAACCCCAATTTTTGTGTACGGAAGAAATTGGTGACCCCCTATCCCTTCTATGGCCGGATATAACTTAACAAATGACAATTCTTTTTTTAAATTTTGTTTTACTTTTGTTGTCATTAGCATTATTTCCACACCCGTATTTGTTTGCATTTTCCATCTTTTTCCGTTTGTATTCTTCACTATTTAATTATTTACACACTTCATATTACGTAATGGTTCCAATGTTTTGTGATCATTATTTTAAGTCTATTTACCCACGTTTGATCTTCTATTTCCAACGTTTAACTATTGATAAGACTTTTGTTATTGTATTTTATTATTCCTACTACTACCAGTACACCTGTCTTCCTACTATCAACTTATACTATTACCAATTATGTGGGGTGACCTATTCTATTTCATTGTGATTATTGACCCATATTGCCTTGATTGGTTTAACATTTTCGTATAAATATTCATGTATATATTAGAGTAAAGCCTGATGATAATCTATTGGAAAACAATTGTTCACTTACATGTGTTGTTCCAATTTTCACAATGAGAATCTTTACTATCCCACTTATTAATCATGTTGAACCTCTATTTAATAATAATAAAATGTATTTAGCCAAAATTATAGATAGGTAGGAATTTTAAACAGTGGAGATTTTTTTTGTTTCTTTTTCTTTTCGGAAACAAAAATGTACTTGAATTTAAAGAGAGAGAAGAAAATGTCTTTTAAAGTTATTGTGCTTTCAACATGGAATACATGAAATAATATTTTGGTTAAGAAAATATTTATAACTATCTCATTGAATAAATAATAAACAATTTGTATAGTGTCAAAAACAGAGTTTGTTTGTTTGTTTGTTGATGATCAAATTGAAATCATTTTGTAAATGATTATGCATAACAATTAGTATTTTGTTAAGAACTTATTAATACAATTACTTACCATATAAAGTTTCTGTATATATAAATGTAAATAACTTTTCTTTTAAAATTCATTCATTCAAATAGACTATGATAGTGATATTCACAAATTACTATAACAAAGGTAACTTGATTAATGTTAAAGAAAGAGTTATTTTTTTTATGATTAAACACTTTTTTTTCAATGTAATGAAAGTATATTGTAAAACATTCTATTGTTTTGTTTAGTTTCATTCATAGCTACATATCATTAATATTAAGTAAATTAAAATAAAAAAAAGGTAACAATAACCATACTTGTTCTCCTATTGATCGAATAACTTGAATGAATTCAAATCAAAGTTTTATACAACACCCATGAAATATTTTATTTTATCACAATTATTTGTTGTCTTTTGTTTTACATAATAAGTCAAACGAACAAAATATGGAATAAGAGTTAATAAAAGTTCATAAAAAGTATTGACAATAAAGCAGGTTATGTATTGTCGAGGTATACAAACTTATTATTTTTATTCATTCACTAACAATCTGAATACTTTACTAGTAATATGAGGTAGATGATAAAAGATAATAAAAACAAGAATCAGTCTTTTCTTTCCTGAGTACAGCAACTATTTTACTACTAAAGTGTAATGATATGAATCAGATTTTATATTATTTGTTTTGAATAAATAATTCAGATTATTCCTTGGAGTTTTTTTTCATCATTCATTTCAGAAGATTGTCTTTTAGGAAGTAGAACAACTTAGATAATTGGTTTCGTATAAAATAGCATCTCTTTCTATGAAACCTTTTGAATTCATGTATCCTCATTCAATAAGATCATAATATACTGACCAAAATCTTTAATTTTCAAGAGTTTTCTTTGATACTATTGAAACATTTCATCAAAATGATGTTATCGTTCCCATTTAAATAATTGAGATGAAGTAAGAATTTTGGAACAGGTCATAAGAATAAAGCACAAATAGAAAACAAATACTTTCGTATTATAGTATTAATATAAGAATTATTGTACAAAAATATAAATGATTTTTCTACTACAATATGCGAAGAGGATGTTTAACAACAATATGATTTGGTGTTACATATATAGCAACTCACGTGCAATTTAGTTTGTTCTCGTTTAACTCAGTTAAGCCCTTTTGTTAACTTAGCGAACAAAGTCATTCTTACTAGAACAACTTATTGTATCTTTATTATTGTTTTGCTTATGTGAAATATATATGCTTGAACATTGCTTACCGCCTACTCATATATTCATTCTGCTAGCTTTATTATTAACTCCTTAATTGATTCGATGATCCATTCAGTTCCCTATATATATATATATATATATATATATATATATATATATATATATATATATATATATATATATATATATATATATATATATATACATGTACATTTAACACTCTACACTCTCACAATCAATCAAATTTCTTATATTATTTCATTTTGTTGCTAAAACGACAAATAGATAAATGTATAACTAAAATGCGACTTATGTAATTATAGCTAATTCATTTCTATTTTATGTGATGTGACTCACATTGTAACTTTTTTCGTTTTACTAGTAAAATAAGTTAAATTAAAGAGTGAGTACAATAGATTTTGAAAAACAAACAAACAAATATTTCACTTGGTGTTGTTTTACTTGTATCTTCCGATTGTTATTTAGGACCGCAATTGATCAGTCTCATGTTGGAATATGTGCATCCTGCTGCGGATTGCCTCAATACAGCCTTAAGTCACAAGCTTTTTAAGCAAAGATGGATAGTGGCTAGCAGTTCCAAATAGAACGAAACGCGCGTCCTTGATTCCACTGCTAGCCACTATCCATCTTTGCTTAAACAAATAGTTCGTTTTAAAATCTAAGAAAAAGCTTTTGTATCTAACAAACAAATGTTTCACTAACTAATTATACACACATTTTAATTGATTGTGATAATTTATTATTATTAATATACAAAATGTATTTTAAACTTACCAATGTAAGATCGTCTAGATTGCATTGAGCAGTATGGTTGCTTACAAATAAAACAAGTTAACTACATTTTATTAATTTCAATCATCAATATAAATTTAAACAAAAAATTAAAGTTTATTTATTTTCATAAATTTCGGATTATTTAGTTGTGTGTGTTCCAAAAAAAATATTTAGATGGCATAGTTACCTAATAATTTCAAGCTCGAAACGTACTCTAGTTGAATCTACCTATTTTTTTGCGTTATTCTTAAAAATGTATTTCATTTTAAAAAACGAATCGTCACAAATGATATATGAATTTAATTTTTAGACGTAAATCAACTAATGAGATCCAATGACATGCCATGGATAGTTTCTTATCCATGTGCCATTTTTCAGTGTTGCAAATATTGTATACTAAACCTAATGGATCCTCATTTTTAGTTTCATAAAAATTAAGCATTTTAAATATATATATATGAATATTTTTGGAAAACATAAAATACAGAATTGGTGAAGCATGATTAAACGTAGAAATACTCAGAATATCTGTAATGCACATGTCATTGTAAACATTTTCCTATACAACATTATTTTGCATGGTACATTGAATGTATTAAACATTATTTTCTCCATTTTTATTTTATATGATGTATCGTTTCAGTTAAATAATTCGACTCAACTAACTAATGTCATTATTATATGATTTTCAATTAGAAATCATGTGTATCAAGAGTATTTGACAGTATAAAGCTTACTTGTCATACAAAACAATTTCAGATAATAGAAAACATTGAATAATACTTTAGGAAACCTTATGCCAATATTTAGAATGACAAGATAATTTGTTCATGATCAACATAAGTACTATTGAAGTGCCATTTATGCACAACACTAATATTATTATTATTGAAATACGACATTTAAACAAAACAATATACAGCTAAACGTAAATTATCCGATTGAATCTGATACTATAAATTCTAAATTGATTATGGAGTCACATGTACAATTGTTTTCGTAGCTAATGTTTAATGGTTGTGAGTAGAAGAATCTGTTTTGATGAAACAATACAAAAAATTAACAACTACGTTTCTTTATGCAGATATTTATCTTTCATTGATGAAAATGCATGTAAATAGTTAGTACAAAATTTACTACAAATTATGACGTCACTCACATTTAATCTAATTCCAGTTTATATAACAACGTAACAGAGTGGACTTGTAATTCACTTGATATTGTTTTACTTGAATCTTCCCATTGATGTTTTAGGACTGAAATTGATCAGTCTCTTATTGGCATATGTGCATACTGTGCGTATGCCAATAAGAGACTGATCAATTTCAGTCCTAAAACATCAATGGGAAGATTCAAGTAAAACAATATCAAGTGAATTAAACTTCAACCCATTGCACAAGCAAGTGGCTATCAGGACTCAGTAGCTAAGTGGATAACGCGATGGCGTTTGAAGCGAACGGTACTGAGTTCGAGTCCAAGAGTGAACATCAACTCTGAGATGCAGGTACATCCAGCTGACGAGTCCCAAACAGGACGAAACGCGCGTCCTGGATTCCACTGCTAGCCACTATCCATCTTTGCTTATAATGCTTGTAGAGTGGACTTGTGTTTGCCGAATAAGAACTCAGTGAATTTGCTGGTACAATATCCTGTATGTTTAATAACATTTTAAGAGTTAAGTTTATTTATTGTTAATATACTGACCAAACGAATTAACAATATGTTACTTCCGTTCTTTCAAACAGTTATTTTACCTTCCCTACAAGTCGTGCACAGAGATTCACATTGTGAATGTTTAGACTTCATAATATCACGCCAAAAAATATGGTTACACACGTAACTTAAATTAGGAGATTGGACTGCAAGTAGTTTCATTTGTTTCATCACATATATTTTTGATTTTTACAAATGCCTAAATATTTGAAGTAGAACAACAGCTAGCAGTATTGTTGAATTAACTTATAAGATAGAACGAATGTAAACAATTAAAACAATTAGTTTTCCAAAGTTATTCCGAATGGAGAGCATAGCAGTGTAATCGGATTATAACTTAAGAGATGTGATATAATACGTGCCATATCATACAACAGATGACGGTTTATTACGAGAAAAATTGCTTGATTGGTTTACCCTACATAGCTCTGTTTAATACTGAACATATGTTTAATCTATTTGGACTCGTTTACTGCAGCACAGAAATGACGCAAATGTGTGATTTATAATGCTACTATGAAACATTTTGATAACAAGTCGAATAAAGATGGTTTAATGCCGTACTTTTCTGGCTACATTTCCAGAACTCTACTTACTTTATATACACGCGAATGGTGGTAGTTCAGTTCTAGATGAGCTTTCAAGTGGCTAAGTCTGTCCTGTTTTAGAAAATGAATTCGATAGATATGCTGTACTTAACACTTGATTTTTCCATACAAGTAATATAACTTACAGTCTGTATAAAGTCGATATTTGTTCTTACTGAGCGGTTATTAAGTTTCTGAATTGTTCGATAATTATCAGCCATTCTACCAGATTCCCGAAATGAAGAAATTCGAAGTTGACGAAGAGATTTTAACTATAATGCAAAAATAATGTAAAGACACATTGTTCTATAGATGTCTGTTCCTTTGAATCACGAATATTTTACATAAACATTGATAGTGAATCTATATCGCATTTGGTATAAATCATACATATATGCATTTTACAATATACCACACACAGTAGAAATACTTTAATTATTTCTAATGATTACTTCTTTTACATGCGACAAAACTAATGAAATACTTGTTCAAGATACGAGTTATTTGAGGGTTTTTTGGTTACTTTTCCTGTATGCAATGCAACTATGAATTGGAAGGGGTTTTGTGGAGATTGTAGTAATTTCAATAGTCGAGATCATGTATATATATATATATATATATATATATATATTCGTTCTGCTTTGCAATTCGTATGATACATTTCAATGTCAGTACTTTGTCCATTACTCAAAATAAGTGAATTTATCAACCAAACATCCCAAGTGTTATTCGTTTTAGTGCTTTTATGTAAACCACAGCAAGTATTTATGTTTACATTTATCACCATAGTTGCTCTACGAGATGACTAACTAGTATTTATGTCCATGTTTGAAAATGAACCTTATAGAAGTGTTAAAAAATAATTCAATTTCCGTCACACCATATTGTCTATGTGGTATTAAGAAGTACTGCATATTTGAAGAGATATTGAAGTTAAAGCTTTCTAATTTTTAATTAATCCATACATGAATAAAATTTATAACGCAACTGTATATTTCTATATTCCCGTTTGCTCTTATATTTTTTTGAAAGAAATAAGCTATCGATTATGTTAAGGTTAACAAGGATAAAATATCTACTGTAAAGTTCTTTTAATTTTGAATCTGTATTTTTACTAATTTATTAAACATTTTGTCATGTAAACGATGTGTGTCATGATTTTTATCCAGGTATATGGCTAATAACAGGTGGAAACGTATTTATATTATAAATATTTAGTGTCATTAGTAAATTGTTTTATATCTAGTCTGATTGAAAAAAATCCCATTCAAAGGATATTAAAGGAAAGCTGGAATTCGGTGGTGGTTGGAGGTAGTCGACAAGAAACTCTAGACTCAAGTTTCATGCTACTTGACACCCGTCAGCAAGGTGTACCTGTAATCTTGAGAAGACTGACCCTCTCTGATGGATTCGGTCGCGTGTTACCCAGCTTCACAGTCAGAGGCGTTACCACTGAGCTATCCGAGGCGCGACTGACCTCCTGTAGGACTGAGATGTAATCACAATTGATTGATCACTGGGTGGTGATCAATGTCACGTGTGCCAAGTCCTTATTAGTGCAGATCGAATACTATCGACCATGTTGCAATGTGGTCAACAGTCTAGGTGACTCGACAGTGAGTGGACGAGATTACAGGTACACCTGGCTGACGAGTGCCAAGTAGCACGAAACCCGGGTCCACGGTTTCCTGTTGACTACCTCCAACTACCATCTAAAATCTCAATACATACTGCCCGCAGTGTCGAGTCACCTAGACTGGTGGCCACATTGGAACATGATCGATAGCATTCGATCTGCACTAATAAGGACTAGATAAGCATGACATTGATCACCACCCAGTGATCAATCAATTGTGATTACATCTCAGTCCTACAGGAGGTTAGTCACGGCTCGGATAGCTCAGTGGTAACGTCTCTGACTGTGAAGCCGGGTGACACGAGATCGAATCCGCCAGGGAGCACCAGTTCCCTCAAGATTACAGGTACACCTTGCTGACGAGTGCCAAGTAGCACGAAACCCGGGTCCAGAGTTTCCTATCGGCTACCTCAAACCACAATCTAATCTGAAGATCGTGTACGCAGTGTCGAGTCACTTGGACTGATGACCACATCGCAACATGATCGATAGCTTTCTATCTGCACTAATAAGGACTAGACAAGCATGAGATTGATCACCACCCAGTGACCAATCAATTGTGATAGCTGGAATTACCTGGTCATTATGTACAACTATTATGGATGTACATAAAACTCATTAATTAAATAGTGAAAATTAACCAGAATTAGGGTATTTTTCTGAACGCTTACTATTGTTTTAATGGCAAAACTAGAGAAACCAAATGATGATCTACAAGTGATCATTATACTTAAAGACGAATGAATCATTATAAGTTCATGAACTTAAAACGGTGTTTGATGGGTTGAAATTAAAGATTACTGAAACAACATTTATTAGAAAAAAAATGCATACCACATCTCCGCTATTTGATTATAGAAAATAAATATTAGGTATTCATTTGGTGATGTTATCAATTATTATGTGTATTAATTGTGTCCTCACTATGATATGTATGAATTTGAATTATAAAAGTTTATAATAATCATTTACGTAGTGTTACAAGTTAAACTACTCTAAAAAAATAACGAATATAATATTGTAGTAAAGGAGAACACAGGTGAGGACAACCGGATTATATTTAGTGCAACGTCACAGAGTTACGTGGTAAAATAGAAAAACCATACTATTATACGTAATTTGCAAAATGTTCAATGATTGTCTCGGACTTCATTGTTCTTGCATTTCTATACTAATTGCTTTCTATTCCCGTTCTTCCTTTCTCGATCTTCCCAATCTTCTGTTGCCAGACATTACATTCCTGACTCGCGTTATATACTACTTATGTCAATATAAGTAGCACGCACCACAATATCAATGAAGAACCACTTGGTCCGTCGATTTAATTTAACTTCAAAATTATTTGTCAGTGTTCTTCAAATAGTAAATAATATTATAACAATATCTTTCTTAAATCTAAGCTATTACGTGGAAAGAAGATAGCCAATTTGTAAATGGTTAATTTATTATTTAACTCAATAAAGTTTGGCGCGATATTTGCTTCAAAGTACACTCAAAGGGTTTTTTCTAAAATTATTCACAATGGTTTTGATGTATTAACTCTTGATCCTTTTTTTCAGTCTTGATTTCCAACAATTCATTTGAATAGAATTCTTACTGTTCTTTTGAACGATATTTTTACAATGTACAGTTGCATTTTCATGATCATATTCATAAAATTATTTTGATTTCTTACCTATCTTGTTATTTTCATCTTGTCAACCTAATGTTATGTGACGATTTTAGCCCAAGCACATTTATGACCTAATTAATGTTAATAGTAACTAATCTAAACAAGTTAAGAAATATTAAGAGTAATGCTAAAAGTAACAAACAGTAAAACAATGAAGTGAAGTATTTCAGAGAATAACCATAATAAAATTCTTAGCTTTGTAAAAAATAATTAGTTGTAACTCAACTTGAAGGCAATATACTTTCTATACTCAATGGCTATGATCGTTTTATTTATTAACAAATTTTTGAGTAGCCGGATTATTTCTATTGGCTATTAATCAATGAAGATTTACCTGATAATTTTAATCGATGAGTTGTTTGATATCTATATATTCATTAATGAGAAACGTGATTACTTAGTGTATTTTCTATGTTACTTTAAAATATTCATTTAAAAAAATTTATATACTTAGGAATAGATAAACAGAAATTACTTTGTCGATTAACACGTATTTAGTAAGTCCATTTTAGCAATATATTATCAGTATGGTAATATTTTATTTAAACCACCCTTTAAAGTTAATTTATGTTTACCTGTGTTTCTGTGATTATAACTGGTTGATTGAGTATAATCCAGGTGACTGTTTCATAACAAGCAGGAAAAGGTAAAGAACCTTGATATGTCATATAGTGAACAGTTGATGGTATTATACCTTCTAACAACAAACCGTGAAGCTTTTTAAACTGCCCTACACAAAAGAGAGGGTAAATAAAAAAAATAAAATTGAACTTCATTAGCCAAATAAAAATCTAAATAAATGAACCAAAGGCTGAAGAAAGTAGTTTTATAAAATTTCATTAATTATATATGAGTGTAATCGTTAAACTACTTCAAAATGAGATGGATTAAATCACAATTACTGATACAATTAATAAATTTTAATTGTTTTGCAAGATGTGTTAATGACAGTTAAACTGTTCTAGATGTCTGATAAGAGTAAAGCTATACCTAAAAAACAATCGTCTTCAATAAAATCATTTAAACGATTTGTACAGTGATATTTATAACCGATGAACAAATAATGTGGTCCATTGAAAAATAGAAGAGCTATTATATAATTTCGGAAAGTCACGTAACATATGATAATTTAGGGGAGAATGATAAAAGAGAACCTAATGCATGAAAGACAACTATCCACTAAACGAATGTGACAATAGTGAGCGAAAAAAGGAAAACGCGATAGTAGTGATTTGCAAAAAAAGGAACACTAGAAAAACGTATTAGTAACAATTTGCCGTCTGTGAAAAATTAGGCGTTAGGCCCATAGAAGAGTAATACCTTACAGGTGTCGCTTTCACACACAGCGTTCAAGCTTGAGAAAATGATTTACTAACTTCTCTCTAGTGCATATCTTATCAATTGGCTCTGCATTCAAACGTAATCATTTGGTTCTATGGACGATTTTGAAGAATAAATCCGGAAAGACTTCGCTTGTTTGACAGCCTCAACCCGCCTCATAAAATCAAGTGAACGTATAGATTCACATTGATGAGGCACAACTCAGGAGTTTATCTCTGATATATCCACGAATGACTGATAGCCTTAAAAATAGTTTTCCTAAAGATTCCGTTCTACAAATTTTTAGAACTTCTACAACAGTATCTCCTTCAAAATCACTGTTCATGGGAAGTTTTTTTAAAACCGGAGGTGTTGTATATTGAAGTCTAGGTTTAATGAACTTAAGTGGATAGACAGTTTCTATGAATATTTATCGAGGTTGGAAAAGTACTTCGCTTGTTCTGTTTTAAGAGCATATTCTACTAGATGTTCAGAATAAAGATTGAATTAAGTTACTTTTCTTGTTTGATAGAACTAAGCTATGAAAATTCGTACATTACTAATTGATTGTAGTATAAAGAATTTTCGTCACTAGAGTTTCTTTAGTTTCTCTTCAAAGATATTGTGTGTTACTTTTGTTTGTAGTTAACAGATTTTAGTAATAATTTATAGCTATGTTCGAATTCCATTCAACCTAACACTAGAATAGCTTCATTCACTGTCAATATTTAAATAAAGTTCCTATATATTATCTAAGAAGAAACGAAGTTACACATATTTTACCTTATAACTCTGTTGACCGACTACAATAAAGCTTTCTCTAAAGTTTACTAGATCGCCTTTCACTAAACACAAAAGAAACCAGATCAAAATATTTCTTGCATCCAATTCTTTCCAAAAAAATTTCGTTGGCAATAATAGTTCATCACCATAATATTACAAACTACTCATAGTTTCGGTTTAAAAAATAATTCATTTTTTAAATTAATTTTCTTTTCGTAACTAGTTACAAAGATATAAAGCGGGCCATTGAATGGTACTTATCTAGTAGTCTATTGTTCATTTCATTTCATTAATTCGATATGAAATCATCTAAAGTTGGTTTTATTGTGAGAGATCAATGACATATTTCTATTTAACCATGAAACATTATCCTTGTATTTAGTTTTGTTTATCCATACATTCATGAATGCTTTATATACCTGTATATTGTTTGTAATATAAATTCTTATAACAATTGAATTATTAGAAAATACATAGGTGTTTGTTTTTTTCATACAACATAAGAATATCACTAACAATAGTTGGTTCGTCAATCATTTGATGATGATAGCGTGTTTCATAATTTCACGACAAAATAACTCATTTTAAATCTTAATCAATAATGTGAAAGTTATGAATTAAAATCTGTCTTTCTCTAATAAAAAGTAAAACTATAATTTTAAAGAAGTAATAATTTATTGTTATCACGTCAATATATAAACAATGAATAATAGACAATGATGTCTGTAATGACATACCTTTCAACTGCACATGATCTGCTATAGAAAATATAGCTTCCAAATCAGCTGACGACTGAACACCGACCTACAGAGTTTATGAATAGTTACTTTAATAATATTAATAATAAACTAATTATTGATTGAGATTATGAACCGACTGATGTTAGACCACCAATGAAAACCTGGAAGCACTGGACGGCCGTTTTGTTTTATTGTGGTACTCCTCAGCAGTCGGCATCCACGAGCCCGCTCGCGGGATTCGAACTCAGGGCCTTCAGTCTCGCGCGCGAACGCTCAATCTACTGAACCATCGGGCTGGCATCCAATGGTGTTAGTGTTAGGTTCATGATCTCAATCAAAAATTCAATAATCTCCACAAGCCCCATACTGATAATCAACATGCGCTCACTAGTGACTAACTTCCTGAAGGAATTCTCAGAGTTCTAGTGAGAAGCCATGACTAGTGGAGCTAGTCCATGTCGGGTAGAGACAGGTATCTACCTCAGTACAATGGAAGATGGTCGTGCAATTTCGTGTATTGGTTGGTGTTAGACACTAACACCACTAGATACTGGCTCATTGGTCTAGAGTTTAAGCGTTCGCGCGCGATACTGAAGGCCCTGGGTTCGAATCCCGCGCGCAGGCTCGCGGTTGCGCACTGCTGAGGAGTCCCAAACTAGGACGAAACGACCGTCTAGTGCTTCCAGGTTTTTAATGGTAGTCTAACATCAATCGGTTCATGATCTCAATCAAAAACCTGATAATCTCCACAATCCCTATACTGAAAACTGAATTGTGTTTATACTATTTAAATACATACTCCATAATAATAAAGCTTCTTGATGAATGTCATTACATGGCTGTAAAAGTGGAACAAAATTTTGAAATGGAGCACGTACTTTCACATGTTTGTGATCAACTGAAACAGTAACGCGTATTACAAATAGTTAATGTTTGCACTGCATACATGTTTAATAAATAGAATTATTTATAAAGTTGAAGTTACTGAAAATAGAATGGGAATACTCATTATATGGTTTTAATCAATATGACGAAACATCGTAAAGGTATTACATAATATGGGAAACGTTGTATTGATCAAATTAGGTTACTTAATATCAAGAAAACCATGCTTATTAAAAGTGATGGGTACACGAATAAGCACGGAACGTATATAAACTATACACTACATACATTTTCTTGTAACTCCTTTGTGATTTCTACCATCCCCAATCCTCAAGTGCACACTCATCGTTCATATCTTATGATTTACTCATCATCAATTATGTTATTTACACCTACATAACATTTTGATATTTTGTATGATTGTTTCGTAATGAATGTGACTGATCACCTTACAGTAAATATTCTTAACTTTATTTTCAATGAGCGCTCGACTTTATAAATAACATTGCATGAAATTAAACCATTATCAGTTCACAAGTCTGTTGTTTCTAGAAGATATTATTGTCCAGTTTAGTCAAAATCCATGTATATTCGTCCGAGTTTGCTCGTTTTCGGATACATAGCCTTATTATTAAATTATTCGAAATTGTTGTTTAATTGTATAATCCTCGATATATAGCTGACTAATTTCGATAATACAATGAGAAGATGAAGTTTATCAGAATTATGTGATATATTTACGCAATACATTTCAAACAATCTGATCACACATATACTTGTTAAGAACATTTTTATATGAAAATTAAAAGGTCAACTAGACAGGTTAATGATCAGTCGTAACAAACTAAAAAATAATAAATTACAGAAAAACAATGTGATAACCACTCTAAATAATAAATCAGTATTACCAGGGTATGTTAAGTGTAAGTACAAATTGTTTTGAAAGCATAAAGAGGGTTTCGGTTTTCGTATAGCCAACGCTTCAATAAACCTTAGTATGCGTCCTTGAATTCTTTTGTACAATACTACAAATGCTGACTTGATATCAATGTTATGATCAGTCTCCATCACATGTTTCGCAATTGGGAAAGATGTCTGTCTATCCTTTGATCTTATTTGATCATTGGAATTCATTTGCTTCTGCAGTCATTTTGGTATGTGTTCACCCACGCTTAATTGGAAATTACGATTGCTCTTCACTATGTACGTGTTACCGCACACACAGATCGTTCGAAACGTATTGCGAAAATATATCACCTAATTCTGATAAACTTCGTTTTCTCATTGCATTATCAAAATTTATCAAAGAGACTAAATGTTTTAAATAGGAGACTAAGTCAAAAAGATATATAAGTCATTCAAAACTTGTCCTTCCTAACGTAAACTTTTACAAAACACTCGAATAATTGACCACCGTAATAAAAAGAGCTGACTTTTCTCATCATTGTTGTGCTAATGATAATAATTATCGGAAGTCATTTTTTGACATAGATTTTAAGTTAGTTATTTGTATAAAATAAAAACCAGCCGGCAAATCATATTTTATACTACTGGGAGTAAAATAAATATAACTTTACTATTATTAAATTGATTTTTTTGCCTAGATTTCGTGCGCATAACTCTTTTCTATTAGAACACTTAACGAAGCATTCCCAAAATATAAATTCCGAATTCGTCAGTATTTTGGTCTAAAGAATAAACAACGTCTGTCGTGAAAAACTTGCAATTATAATGATCTCACTTTTCTCAATAGAAAATATAAGGAATTATACCGTTTAATCAAGCAAAATGAGACAGATTCAAATCCATTGTATGCATCAACTAAATTTTGATACATTTATTTATACCGTTATTAAATCTAAGAGCTATTATTTATGCTTCACTAGTGGACAAGTAAAATATTTTTCAACAAGTAAGAATAACAATTGAAATGCAAGAAAATTTTGTGAATAAATGTTCTTGTATTTATACTTGGTATTTGGTTTTTGCATTTTTTTTAAAAAATAACCCATAACTAAAGAAGTTGATGTTGAGTAAATGGGATTAAATAACATTTTCTATTATTATTCAAGTGAACTAAGGAGTTATTAGACATATCGGTGCGCTGCTGATTCAGTAAATTTTGGTATAGTACAACAATTATTTCAATAAAAATAATTTATAATGTGTAAGAACCACTTACTTGACAGAAGATAGACAATACAGCCAACCCATTCGGTTTAGATAGTGCAACAGAAAAATTTGGATATAAAATGTAATTGAATGCATATAATTGTAGCTGTCAATACAAAAAAAAAACAATGTATTCTTGGCATAATAAATGTCACATTTTTTTTATCTTTAATAAATTACCTCGTACTGAAATAGTCACAAAATTCAATGGAAGGACTCATTATATAAGACGTAATTACATAATAGAAGTCTCATAAATTCTGTGCTACCTAAGGATCATATTATATTAGCGGCAAATTAAATCTGTCCACCTTTATTCAAAAAGTGGTACAATCACTCCATGTACTAAGATGCACGGTATTTCAAGTGTAACTAGATCGTTCTTGTTACAAATATTTTTAGTATTGAAATCCATGTAAAATACCAGATTTCATAAAAAATGAACTCAGAAGTATACGTCTGAGGAGAATAAATGTCAATTATTTCGACGAGAAACTATATTTATCCCATAGGAAAATCTAGATGCTTTCAGTTTTTCCCATAGTGTTTATGAAATCATTTCATACGAAATATATTTTTTTACTTTCAATCTATGCATAACAATTAATAAGTATCTGTAAAAAAGTACTGTTCTACAAACTTTCAATGGTATAAAATATTTGACCAAATTGTGTAATACAATGTGAAAATATCATCACATTAAATTTCGGTTGATCAATAAATTAGAATTATGTGGGAAAAGTGCTGGTGATATCAAAACAGAAAGAATATTGTAATTGAACATGACATAAGAAATCACTGGTTTTGGTGTGATGGTTAAATTTCATTAAAACGAATCGCCATTGTGATAAAATGTCAACTTTTCTATTAAATGATAACTTAATCATCTTTGTTCTGGCATAACGGTCATTAATCAGCGCAAGCTTTTTTAAATTCGTTTAGAAATAAGAAGCTGAAGGTATGAATGTATGATTCAATGTAGCCCAATAAATTTTTTTAAACTACCTGCTAGCCTATATTGCTCTATTTTTCAATTGTCACGCTTATCAATACATTATTGTTTTTTTCTCTTGTAATACTTGCAAAATGAATATTTTAAAAGGCGTCAATCAACTTTTATCATTTCTCCAATATTGGAGTTGTCATCATCAGTCACTTTTGTTTTCAGAAGCAGCAAAGCGGTAGTCTACGCCACGATTGTGTTCTAACTAATCATAAAGTATACAAATCATTCTTGATAGTGGGTTCATCTCTACTTTGTTTAAATCAGTTAACTTTTACTAATAAAATAATGACTTACTAAAATTTAATCAAGTGTATTGCAAGAGTAACTTACAGAAGGAGAGGTTAGACGACATATGTTTTAGATTATTTCATTCATACAATTATGTAAATAGATTTTACGGCATATGAATTACAACCCTTATTATTTTGGACAAATAAGAGTATAAACAACTAAATTTGGTTGAAAAAATGTGCTAATGACAGATGGTCTCTCATTCGGAAGTTGAGGAGCAGTGTTTACTTAAAACCGGGTTTCGGAACCTGACTGATATCAATTTCCCTTCGAATATCCACACTTGGGAACACGTTTTGGAATTTATGGTGCTGGTTCTTTCATTTTTCTAGATTTATTTTAATACTTAGAATTACAATGAAGAATTTGAAGCACAGAATACATATTTGCACAAGAATTCACAGCTTTCCTGATGAAATTCGATAGATTATGATATTTCGAATGCATCACAAGCGATCTTAGCTACATTTCTCCTATTTTCGTTAAAAACGAATGTGAACTACATTGTTATCATATTCAAATAATAGTTGCTCTTCAGTCACTAGGTATAGTTCATACGTATTTTTAAAGCACTCAACATCTGTTTCATTTAGTACATTAAATGAATCATCAGAAACATCTTAATCTATTAGATTAATTGCGATTCACACACAACAATTAAAAACTTTATCTAATAGTGTCAAAATTTCTACCTCCGCCGGAAACGCAATACCGTCAATTTGATGATCTGAACCACGACTTGATCTTGAACCAAATTTTATAATAGCACCAAACAGCTTGTAGTCATATACCAATGGTCCTTCACTGAATATAATTATTGTTGTGGAATCAAGAAATTTCATTTGTAAATCTTGTCCAGTATTCACTATCTCCACGTCAATCTGAAAGAATCGTGCAAGCATACTTTTAGTATCTGTTAACTAAACAATATATTGTGGATTATACATCATAATAATGTGTGATTGACCGGCCATTACCTGATTTATATCTAGCCTAATGTCAGAATGGTTTGAAATGCGAAACAAAACTTAACACTTTGTTATAAAATAATATGACAGTTAAACTTTAAAATTTTGTATCTTATTCATCATTATAACTAATGATTACAAGTATATACAGCAATAAAATAATAAACATGTTTTAATAAGAATACAAAAAATGTAACGCCCAATTACTTCAAAACGAACCATTATATTTTAAGTCGGCTACAGAACATTAAAAAACTATGTATTTGTGACTGAGCACTTACCTGTTTATCTAAGCCTAGTATTTTTATGGGTTCCAAATTAGTATCAAATACTAAATGCTTTGTAGAGATATTGATTGGTGATTGCATTTTTCCTTGATAGCAAGCTGACCAAATGTCACTGGTAATAGCCATGAGCGCCGTCTGCCCCCAGTTACTTGGACCTTGATGAGAAGAGAAAAAGAATATTAATAAATGATTACTCTGATACGAAAGACAGACATTACAACTGTTTGTAAACATCTGCTAAATATGACAGTTTTATATGATATATTTCCTTCATGAATTTTAAAAACCAAGAATGATAGTGGAAGCAGATTTATAGGAGTTCATTTTTATGAAGTTGTTTTCATCGTCTTGCCACAAACGTATTTATACTGAAATAAAACATAGTTTCAAGTAGTAATCATTCGTTTTTGAAAAACTAGTATAACAGTGGATTGTCAGTATTGTATATATACATACATGTGTGAAGTCATTTGAGGGAAAATATAGAAAATATAAAACCCGGAAGACTTTATTAATACAAAAGACAAATTGAGTAGTAATTATAGATCTTAAAAAATTTACTTAATTTTTAAGGAGTGTGTAAGTAAAATTCACGGATGTATGGAAATTTAATATTAAAGTGGATAAAATGACGGTTAGCTGAGTGAAGTATGCTAAAATGTAAGTAATAATATTCAGGGAAAATTAAGTCAGTTTATCGATTTACCATGGGATTGCTAAAAAATAATTCTCGTATCGCACATAAATTTGCTTTGGCCTATCAATAAATTGGGACAGGTAGGCAACTTTAATAATTTTCTCCAAATCAGCGTAACGTTTCAGGACAGTAGTTTTGATCATAATATAGCACTTCTACGTTTTTTATTTTCAAAGTAGCATTTTCTTCGATGTACTTACTTATTTACGCCTGTTACCTCTCGTCGAGGAGCATGGACCGCTCACCAGCTTTCTCCACTCAACTCTGTACTCGACAAAACTTCCCACTTCTTTCCAGCCGCTATTCACCCTTTTTATGTCCGCTCCTGATTCTTCACACAGTTTATTCTTTGACAACCCTCTTTTTCGCTCCCCTTCAGGATTCCAAGTTAGTGCTTGCCTCGTGATGCTGTTTGATGATTTCTATACTATGTCCTATCCACTCCCAGTGTCTTTCCCTAATTTCCTTCTCAGCTGGAAGTTGGTTTGTTCTTTCCCACAGTAGGCTGTTGCTGATCGTATCCAGCATTCAGATATTGAGTATCTTACGTAGGCAATTGTTTACAGATACTTGTACCTTTTTGATGATGGTTGTGGTAGCTCTTTATCCAGCGAAATATTTATTTATTTTCGGTATGACATTTGACTTTGGTTTTATGCTCAGCGTAATATTTTAGTTGGAACAATAATGGGTTTATTTCTTATAGCGTATCATTGTCTCAGATCAATATGCTTCTAAATAATTAGGTGTGAATTTTGTTTAGTATGACAGGTGTAAAATTCCGTTGAACGTGACAGCCATATTCTCTGTGTTATCCTATGCGAATTTCGAATTTGTTTTACAGTAAACCTGTGTAGCCTTTCATTTGTATGATGTTTATTAACTAAGCACCAAGGATGTTTAAAGTCAGTGATTAAATGTATGTGCGTGGTTCAGTGCAATTCTGTTTTCGGAGAGTCAATCAAACTTCATTATTGGTCTTGTGTTATCGTTTTACTTCGTTGGAATTACAACGGTTCTTGATCCTAAGCAGAAGCAGCAGAACCGTGAATGTTACAGCGTTCTAATTGCCACTGCTTTAGAAACGCTTTTGGTGCATTTGTGATTAGTCATCTTGGTATATCTGCATCCTAGTGTTGACTTTCATGCAGGGAATCGAAAACAGGATCTTTCGCTTCAAATGCCCAACGCGTTATCCACCAGGCTTCTTGGTCGAGAAAACCTTACAAATTAAATAAAATCCAAATCCGTTGCGCAAAAGTATGACATAATGACTAAACTGCTGCAACCCGCACAGGATGTACATAGGCCGACTAAGACTGATCAATATTTAGTCAAGAATTTCAGAAAATGGACAAGTAATACCTTATAAAATCATATAGTGTTACAGAGGCTTTCTAAGCTTTAGTTTAGTCCTCTATTACCGTAAATATTACATAAATCATGTGTTAATTCACATGCATAGGTGGACGATTTGGTAAGGAGCGATTTCTCCCATTGATCAGGTTGTTGGTTTACAAGGAAAGTTTTGCTTTTTGTCTCCCATTAACCACTGAATACATTTTGCTCAAATAAACCTTGATGGCACATATAATCGAATATGAAATGTTTTCCAAGATACGATTTTGAAAAGGTCCTTTCATTTTTTTGATAAATATCATTTCAATAGTTGAAATCATGAGCAAATTGAAACTACACCACCATGGAAAACCTGGAAGCACTGGACGGCCGTATTGTCCTAGTATGGGACTACTCAGCAGTGAGCATCCACGATTCCGCCTACCGCGACATTCGAACCCAGGACCCATCAGTCTCGCGCATGAACGCTCAACCACTAGACCACTGAGCCGACTGGCATCCAATGTTGTTAATGTCTAACTTCAACCAATCCACGAAATTGCGCCACCGTACACCATTGTCTTCAGTGGGTTGATGTCTCACAACAGACCTGGTTGAACTCCACTGGCAACGGCTTCTCAATAGAACCCCAGTAAATGCCTCTTGAAGACTGATAGGTCCTTGGTTCGAATGTCGCGGGAGGCGGGATCGTGGATGCGCACTGCTGAGTAGTCCCATACTAGGACGAAACGGCCGCCCAGTGCTTCCAGGTTTTCCATGGTGGTGTAGTTTCAATTTTCTCATGATTTCAACTATTGAAATGTCTAAAAATCTACACAAAAACCCTTTTGAAAATATCATTTCTTTTCAAAGAAATCGGATCAACATACCATCAAGTGTAAGCATTCGGCACAAGTTAACTTTGGTCACGTTGTGTTTGCAGTCGACGGAGTTTTTTTCATAAATAATGACTGAGTTCGTTATAAGCAACTGTGATAGTAGATCCTAAGTATATAATTTGCAATGGTTTTGGTGCTATTTTTGGTACAATACCGTAAGACTCTTAAAACTATTTCTATTTGTTCGTCCACCACAGTGAATTCGTTTCAAATCTGTATGTTGTAAATGCGCACAACGTTTCAAACTTTGCCTCGCATCAATATTGTGCTGTGTAACTATGTTTGTTGAACAGCAGTCTCAAGATGAACACATATTAATATAGGGTAAGTTTCTCTCCTTAGCAACTCTAACCGATTCAACCAAAAACCATAAAAACATTGTGCTCATTGGCTTAACAGCATTTTTATAATATCGCGATGAAAAAAGCATCTGAGTTGAATAATTAGTAATCGGGTTAGTCAAATTCATATGTCGAAATTGATGTACAAGTCCTCATTTATAAAGTTTTGACGCTGTTAAGTTTAAACTCACTTTTCATTGTGTTAAGTGTAAGAATAAGCAAACCTCAATTTTGGCCATCATATCATTATTATTATTATCAGCATAGGGGTTGTGGGGATTATTAAGTTTTTGATTAAGATCATGAACCACTGTAGGAAACTTGGAAGCACTCACTTTCCTTCCTCTATCACTTTACAACCTGATTATCATTATGTGGCGCATATATACTTCGATGTCCCATTGAACCAACTTTAATTAATTAATTAATTAATGAGATATCACTGATGGCTTGGTTTATTTAAAAATAATCATTTGATTATAAATTTAGGTTGAAAAACTTCTAGCGTATCAGATGCTTTAACAAGTTATGTAATTTGTATTTTTTCAGTATCATTTACCTGTTAACAGTTATTCATTGTGCTTAAATTATTATTCGGTTTCAACTTCTTAATACGATTTCCGCTTAGAATGCACAAATTAAATAAAATTAGTTACCTTTTTGGTTCATAATCATTATTATTATTAAAAAAGAGGAAAAAGCCATGAATCCGCTTAACGTACAGATGTTATCGATACAATTAAAATTGAATAGTTGAGTTCATAAGTCCATTGATGTTAGGCCGTCATGGAAAACCTGGAAACACTAGACGGTCGTTTCGTCCCATTGTGGGCCTCCGCAGCAGTGCGCATCCACGAGCCCGCTCGCGGGATTTGAACCCAGGGCCTTCAGTATCGCGCGCGAACGCTTAAACTCTAGACCAATGAGCCAGTATCTAGTGGTGTTAGTGTCTAACACCAACCAATACACGAAATTGCACGACCATCTTCCATTGTACTGAGGTAGATACCTGTCTCTACCCGACATGGACTAGCTCCACTAGTCATGGCTTCTCACTAGAACTCTGAGAATTCCTTCAGGAAGTTAGTCACTAGTGAGCGCATGTTGATTATCAGTATAGGGGTTGTCTATTGTCACGGTAAACTGACGTTATATAAATGGATAGCTGGTTAATAAAACATTAACCTGTGTAAGAATTGTATCTATAAGTGTAAGTAAGGCGCTAAAACTTCGAGGATACTTTTGGTAGTTAGGTCTTAGGCACTAAATATATATACAGCTAAAAAATCATTAATTAGACAAAATTCTTGGACATATGATAAAATACCTCCTATTACACCTTCTTTGTAATGCCACCATGTATCCCAGGTAGAATCCCATGAACTTTCTTGCCACAGAGCATCAAGTGACTCTTAAAATATTTAGAAAAAAAATAATTGACTGGTTATTGAATTTTCGAGTTAATAGTGCTGACATTTTTATCTCTTATAAATATAGGGTTGTTGAGAAAGAGGACACAATTGAATGAACTCGAGAAATATATCTTATATGTATTTCATATAGAGGACTAATTTTGAAAAAAGTTTAGAATAATGCTCTTATTTCGGTTAATCATATCACACATTATTACGTGATAATTTCTATGTATAGTTTACTATCTTTAAAAATGAAAAGGGACTCTTTGAAGCTTTATTTCTTCAGAATTTGAAAACGTAGAATCAGAGAAGCTGGTGAATCATAGATAATCCTCACGGAGTAATTTTCTTCTGTTACCCTAGGCACTTAGAACGTTTGACAATTATCCATAGATGAAGCACTTACTTTCTGTTTATTAATCCCCACAAATGGATAGAATGAACATGTGACCATGAAATCACTACCAGCATATGTTTTCCCAAATTTTTTAACGCCCACCATAAACACATAGCTACATTTCATTTATACAAGTTAAAGTCACTCGATCTTTCCAAAGAAATAGATCTAAATTGGAGGGTAGTACTGTAGGTGAAAGTTAGTATATTATTTAATTGTTGACTTGTGGCGCAATTAGTGAGATCATTGATGGAAAAAAGAAAGTTGTTGCGCGTTAATAAACTTTTCCACACTCAGAACAAATTATCATTGTTAAGATACTACTCAGAAAACAGAAAGTTGTAATATCTGGTAAATGTATTGACGGGAGAGTTGACAAAAATAGATTAAACCATTTTGATGAGGCGTGCTTGAAATATTTCGCAGGAAATACAATTTCCCAGAAGCTTACACCAAAGACGTTGAAATAACTGGCTTTATCGTTTGGCTGAGCAGATATTAAGCTTAGTCCTTTCTACCTACTGACATCACATAATTTTTAGCCTCACAGAAATCCAATAACATTAATTTCTCATGTTGTCTCCTGTGGCATTTATCAAGTGACTGAATAATTGTTCAGCGTATGTTTCTAAATTTCAACAATCAAAAAATTGCACATACTTTTAAACAACATTTACTGTTTTATGTACTGGTTTTAACTCTAAAACTACTGTTAAAAGAAGCATTAACAATAGACGACAAAAATGGATTACGGAAAAACAACAAGTAATATTTAGACTTTTACAAATCACTAAGCGTAAGTTTGATCGAGCATTAAAAAAAGACACCAAAGAATATGACTAGAAATATAGCACACGTTTTTAAGTAACCAAAGAAATGATTACCAAAGGGTTAAGGTACCTTTTTTGTCAAAACCTTTCACTTAAATACTAATACGACTTTATTTCAAGTCACAATCCAAGTATATAGATGATGATGACTGTCAAGTCACGTAAGTTTCACGTTCAACTTGAAGTTCAGTATATTAAGCACGTTAAAAAATATATTTTAATTATTTCCTAAACTAACTTCTGTTTAGTGAATAAATAGAGTACTGAAATTAACAATTAAACTCAAAAACCGCGGAACAGCGATTTACTTAATTAAACATCACACAAAATGTGTTGTGTCAAAATAAACGTAATGCATGACATTGAAGATCTAATAATAATGGTTCCAATTAGGACTATGCAAAAACGCTTCTGTGAGAAAATAACGAAATTATTAATCCTTTTCAGAAAATATTGGTCTGTAAAAAGTAATTTGATGTTGAAAGCGCTATGCAATACAATTAATAGAAATAAGAGCTCGCGTTAGAAGAAAACATATAAAATAACTTCAACGGTAAAATCCGACCACTAAATCAAAAAATAAAAAATTGGAAAAGTTCCTAATAAGAGATGATAAGAAAAAATGTCATGATAGAAGTACGAGAGCATTATATCGATGACATCAAACAAAATCTTAAAATAACAGAAAAACACAGCAAACAAGCACCAAAAATACACATATAAAAAAAGATCAACAAATGAAAAGAATTCTAAAAACAACACAGAAAAAATATAAGATAGGCAGCTTAAAAACAGAGAGAACACACTAAGTACAAGACAATTTAAATTATTTTAGTCACGGTAAATGATCAACGATGATGTCGTTTAAAACAAAATTTAACACAAGATTCCTGACCTCATTCAACTGAAGGGAGATGATTATCAAAAGGTTAATCAAACCTAAGTCTTTCGTCAAAAATACAATATTTGCCCAAATTTACGAATTTTGAAAATTGGCAGATTAATAACAAACTGAAAGTGGTAACAACTCTCACCATAAGACTAGTTTAGTGTATAAGTCAGGTTCATTCGTCATAACGTCCAGGAATAGTTACAAAAAAACGATAAAAAGACAATGACATCTGACGAAGTTACCTGACTACCAGTTGAAACATTTTCAGTCAATTCTACTAATGATTCAATACACCAAGTTGGCTATTAAACGAAAAATGTTTTCTTGTACTCGTTTTACGTACAACGTGTGATCAATTTATTCACGACAAACTATTGGAATTAGGCCTCCTTCTGTGTGAAAGGTCGTCTACTAGTAATATTATGGTAATTACATTACTATTGATCATTCACAGATGACCTAATGCCAAAACATACTTCTTCAAATTACCAGTAAATATTGAAATCGCCCTTAGTTCTAAACCTACAGATGTATGAGCAACTATACAATTTTTGAATTATTTTTTCCGGTTGGCGTTTTTATAGAGAGTTAGTTTTCTACGGGATGAGTTCGGTAACTTTATGCCCAACCCTCATCCTTAACCTGAGCTTGGGACCGGCAGTAACTCTGGGAGAACTACAGGTGGACTTTCAACCAATATCAATGTCAGAATCTTCAATACGAGCGTCAAGACAGTCCTACTGTACGGAGCTGGAACTTGTAGAACTACGACAACCATCATCAAGGAGGTACGAGTATTTATAAATAGTTGTCTGTGAGAGAGAATAAACCAGCTTCCAGCCAAAGAGGAAATTAGGGAAGGACGATGGAAATGGATAGGACATACATTACGCAAATCATCAAACTGCATCACGAGGCAAGCCCCAACTTGGAACCCTGGAGAGAAGCGGAAAAGAGGAAGGCCAAAGAACACTTTACGTCGGAAAATAGAAGCGGACATGAAAAGGACGAATAACAACCAGAAAGGATTGCCCGGAACAGGGTTGGATGGTGAGTGTCGGTGGGCGGCCTATGCTCCTCCACGAGGAGTAACAGGCGTAAGTAATTAAGTAAGCAAAGCATACAATTTCGATCTTCATGGCATTTTTGGTTTCGGATTGTATACAGGCATTTGCAAGACAATATGAATAGAATTCTATTCATGTTTAGACATTCAGACGGAAGTAAAGATTCATCCCACCAAACAAAAGCTTCTACAATACACATAAGCCGCTGAGTGCAATAATAAACCAATTCAGAATCCACTAAATGGGGCAAACACTCTTTTCTAAAACCAAGAAACTCATTCCTCAGTGAGTTTTGATTCTGTAAATGTTTCTAGACACTAAGTCCTGTCTCGTGATCCTGCAACACAACTGCATGTCTATAATAAAACCTCAAATCAATTTTTAAGTTGGGAAGCAAGCCGCAAAGAGATTGGTTTTGGAGCCTAGACATGAAAAAAAAGACTAGTATTCGTTTGAGAAGCGATTTGAAATACACCGTCTAACGCTTCATACTTAACATCGAACCACTGTAAACTGCCTACTTAAACTTCAGCCGTATACAAAACGTGCACTCATTGATTACGCAATCAGCTTACCAATTTATAATGCTGTCGACATGCAAAATATACATAAAATATAATAGATTTAAGATAATAGTCTACTTAACATAGCAGTAAAGGAAGAAGCTCCCGTATAAGTCTGAAAATCAGCCTAACTAAAGTTTTGGGTGACAATTAACCGGAACAGAACTGTCAATGCTTCTTATCCTTGTTAAGTAACTCAAATAAAACTTCCTATTTGAACGAAACAAAATATTCACCCGTCTTTATCAGTTTTTGGACTTATACAAAGGAGTTGATAATATATAAGCTTACCCATCTTAATGGATCAACCGGTCTTTAAAAAACTACGGTCAACACGGTTTATTCGAATGTACCGGTATACACGAAAGATTGTGTAATTTTATTCTATGCAGAGTCAAAAGACGTCATAAATATGCTATCTGAATCGAACGTTTGAGAAAAATAGTTACTAGGTCATCTTTCTCTTCAAAAACCACAGTGCTTTAAGATCTTCAGCTACTTTAGATGGTCAAATAGTTAGCTCAAGTCAGTAGACCAAACAACAGCCAGTCAAATATTCTAGAGTTCTAAATAAGATATTGGAATGTACACTGATGTTAATTAGTTGTATGTATTTTTCTGAATGATTGTTCAGTTGGTCTCCATTCCAACTAACGTATGATCGTAGTCCTTTAAGTGCAAAGAGTCGAAATAACTCAAGGTTCCTTGAGTTGGCACGCTATGGGCAAGAAAGATACTAAACAGTAAACTTGGACAAGAGAAACACAGACGAAACAAATTTGACACTATGCCTTAAGTATGCAGGTATTAGACAAAGGCCTATACAAGTTCATGGACTAGTCTAGGAAGACAATTGTAGATCACCAACGTAGATGATTTATGTCGAAGTGATTGGAGGCCTACTCGAGTTAGACGTGAATGATGTGACGAACCAACTAACGTCGAAGTCACACCTCGTGGTCAGCACCTTATGTGGACTACCCCCATTGACGTAACAAGGTACTATAGATGCTTTGAAGACTGTACAACACAAATGACGTTATTACGGAAATATATTAGTTAAATTAGATACAAGCGAAAGTAAGACCACTGCCGCATGGGCCAGTCCATGGCATACCATTAACTAATGCGACGATCTGTTTGACATTCAGTGATCCAACTGCCGGATGATTTGTCTAGGGCTCAGTGACATTTCACTGGCCCTACACAATAAGTCCACTCCCCTACTTATGTTGTAAATCGTAGCAATAATACAACGCTTAAATAATTAAAATAACTTACTGGTTATTGTGAAGGAAATAATATTAAAAACTGTCAAGATTCCAAAAATCATTCCCACAGACCAGGTGGGCGCATCTGTTTACTATGGTGAATTTTCATTATGACGAAGCTATAGTCTGAATGAAGTGCGCAGTATTAAGTAACGTATTTAAGTTCTCAACACATAAGGTCGTATAATATCGTGTTCGATGTCCAAAACTTGAGAAGGTCGCTTTTCAATATTCATTCATTTGTACATACGTTCAACGCGAATCTCTTACCTACAATAATTAGTTAATGTTCATTATCAGGTTTCGTCAACCGGACAGATGTTAATATATAAGATCGACGAGCTACCCAGTTTGCTGTTGAAGTTTAAAAATTAAACAGCCACGTAGCTAACCTGTAAGTTTTACTTTCATTTGAATAATACCCTTCAATTAGTCAGGTATGCACTAGAGAGTTAAATAAATCCTCAAAACAAGTAGCTGTGTGAGGGGTGAATTTATCTGCAACGTAATCATGTAAACTTAATGTATCTCCCGGTGTAATAACAGTAATCTGTGCGTTCAAGTAACCAGAGAATTCGTCATTTCATAATCTATTTTTAATTAAATAACTAGATTTTGTTGTTGTTATTTTGCTCTATTTTTAATTTTCATTCGCCATTCCTGGCAGCGTTACACTGTACTTTCATTGAACGCTGGAATGATATCTCAAGTCATAGTTAGTTTAATCACATAGTTGAATGTTTCCAGATAGACCATCAGTGCGTGATTTTGCTGAAGAAATGTTTGTTGTACTGAAAACTATGTTTTCATGACTGATGTCTTCAGCGTGAAAGCAATACATATATATCCTTTGTCATCTGTTAGGTAAATTCAAATGGCCTATATTTAATGTTTTGGTTTTATCGGCTGAATTTTGTTCATTTTACTCCGTTTAGCAACATGTCAGTGCAATTTTAACGATAATTATATCATTTGCGTAGTTTAGAATTCTTGGTTGCCGTTATAACTTCGATTAGTCGATAGAATTATAGTATAATTATGTATAGTGTTTAGAGCCTGTAACGAAACGGAGCAGTTTAGTAAGTAGAGGTGTCTGTTTTTAGTGAGTATACTGATTCAGATCAGTCTGATTAAAAATAAGAAAAAAAAGTGCCTTTGATGCTGTTGCTGTTATGTATTATATGATAGCTTTAAGTACATTTGGTGTTTATTTGTAGACAGTACGTCTAACACTGTTCATGTTTCAAGACCACTGTCATTAAAAATTTCCCCAGCAATAACAGCTGTAGCAGGATAGCTAATTGTCTGAGCTTTTACTTGCCTGCAGAAGAGCAGTATACAGTCTTTGAAGATGAGTGTTCTGTGTCTCAATTAAATGCAGCTGGCTGTGGACAAGTGTTAAGAAACTTAAGAATCAGACACTAACTCTGCTTGTATGTCTTCCTGTTAAACTAGACGTAGATGCATGGGAACACTTAAATGGGAGTGAAATAATAAAAGCATTGTGATACGGTGCTAAGTCCATGTTATGCTTTTCACAAGTAATTGTAGCTGACCTGATCTAATATTCATGAACTCAAGGTAAATCACAACTGCATAAATTCTTTGCTAAAAAACATGTAATTTGATTCTTTATCTATTCCACATTTCTGCCTAAATTCACCACTATTTTCTCATTTAGAATGCAGCAGGAGTGAGCCTTCACAGATCCTAAGAACTGTTTCGCGCTTGGAACTATAGCCCTATGAAACTGTTTACGGGAGATCCAACTAACAGCAGATTATAAGAAGGATGCTGGATGTCCATTTTAGTCTCACAACCACTTCCAGTACTTTTTGAATTACTTCTTTTACCCTTTCGTTTGGAATAAAAACAACAAAGACTGCAGCTTAACATTACCAGTGCAACTTTTAAACAGAAACTTCGTTTAAACCTTTGATATTCGATTCTTAATGAAAGTTCCTGAATAAATTTTTAAATCTAATGTCACTTTGTTTTATCTACTTAATCGTTGCAAGAAACTTGTGATATACGAGCCTCTCAGCATCTAGTTCATATGTAGTAAATTTAGGTGGTTTAGTACATATCTTCGTCATTTTCTTGGGAAACCTACAGACTCGGGTCCTATCATAACTTACTCTAACCACCATGAGTTGTCGCGGCAGCTGGCGGATGGACACGCGTTACACATCCTAACCGTACCTGCGTCTAATCTCATAGCTCCTTATTCAAATGCCATATGATAAGCAAGGAATGCCCCTACTCGCACTAATGGAAGACTAGTAACTCAAAGGCACGCTGTGTGGTACCTTACATTGGTCTACGTACTCGCTCAGCCGTTTAGTGAGAATATGACTACAGTCCTGCTAAAAATCCCATGAACCCCCATATCTACATCAAAACAAATAATTCTGTATTTCCTGCATATAGTAATTTTATTTTTCAGAACTAAGATATAACCGTTAGAATTGGAGTAAAATGGCAGTATAGAGCAGATGCACGTGGCTATAGTAGTTGTTGAACACGGCATTCACACTCGTGATCCGGTGTGGATGCATGACCGAGCGCCTTCAGCTAGGTGAGTCCATTAAAACATGTGGTGAGCATCCAATGTCGAAAACCTACAGAGAGCTGCTATTAAACGCAACTCACTTTCGTAAATGAGGCCTTCAGCTTAGCAGTCAATCAGAATGAGGCGGGAATTATTATATCCGCCATCTTTGTAAGCAGTGGCGGTCGGCTTTCTTCGTTCTGTGCTTTTTTCAGCTATTTCTTTTGTGTAGTTACAGAATTTAATGTTTCAGGGTGCTAAAATGCAGAAGTTTATGTAATACTCTAAATGTTGGAGCAAAATTTTTCCTCATTTTGCTTTGTCTTCTGGATTTTGGCTGCTGCTACTGAAGTCACTGTATTTCTTCAGCCAATCTGGCTAGTCTTATCGGTTTTGTTTTGACTTGTTTTCTGGATATTCAAAGCCGAAGCTCGTTTTTTAGCTTAAATAATTGTTGCTGTCGCCTGTGATTAATTGTCCGCATGTTCTTTCTTAACTGTTTTTTATGATGTTATCGGCAAAATGAAAGGAAACAATCTCCGATTTTCAAGTTTCTTCAGTATTATGACAACACCATCCCATTAACGAGTCAAACTAATACAGAGTGCCCAGCAGCAGGGTATATCAGTATTGTTCTCGAAAAGACCCAGACTTACGGTAACCATAGATGAAGTCACAGATGCTACCAATCTATTGTAGAGAGTTTATTATGAAAAATATGCCATATAGCAGTAATAGAGTGGTTGAACTGATTACGTCGTGAGTTAAAGCAAGCCTAACATTGAAAAGCCGGAAATCTGCTATCAGTGTGTAGTGTATGTTTGCTGTTTCGACCATTAAAGGAAGCCGAAGGGTCATGATCAAGGAGTAAAAAGGTAATTAACTGTTATTAAGCTCACTTTTCTATAGATCATATTTCAGAACCCGCAAATTTGTGTTTTTTACGGTATGATGTCAACATGTACTTAACATGTTGACCCTTATTTTGGACAACTGTCTTCCAGTTTGAGTGCTTCGTATGCCCTGGAAGACTAGATTCCCACATTATTCGTAGTTCCAGTATAACTTTTTCACGCAGTAAGTTCAAATTAGACACTAGTATTTCTAAATAAGCCTGTTAAACCGATATCCGTATCCTCTATTTCAGTCAATCGATGAAGACATGTGCCACGTGCATCTGCTGTATACTGCCATTTTACTCCAATTCTAACGGTTATATCTTAGTTCTGAAAAATAAAATTACTATATGCAGGAAATACAGAATTATTTGTTTTGATGTAGATATGGGGGTTCATGGGATTTTTAGCAGGACTGTAGTCATATTCTCACTAAACGGCTGAGCGAGTACGTAGACCAATGTAAGGTACCACACAGCGTGCCTTTGAGTTACTAGTCTTCCATTAGTGCGAGTAGGGGCATTCCTTGCTTATCATATGGCATTTGAATAAGGAGCTATGAGATTAGACGCAGGTACGGTTAGGATGTGTAACGCGTGTCCATCCGCCAGCTGCCGCGACAACTCATGGTGGTTAGAGTAAGTTATGATAGGACCCGAGTCTGTAGGTTTCCCAAGAAAATGACGAAGATATGTACTAAACCACCTAAATTTACTACATATGAACTAGATGCTGAGAGGCTCGTATATCACAAGTTTCTTGCAACGATTAAGTAGATAAAACAAAGTGACATTAGATTTAAAAATTTATTCAGGAACTTTCATTAAGAATCGAATATCAAAGGTTTAAACGAAGTTTCTGTTTAAAAGTTGCACTGGTAATGTTAAGCTGCAGTCTTTGTTGTTTTTATTCCAAACGAAAGGGTAAAAGAAGTAATTCAAAAAGTACTGGAAGTGGTTGTGAGACTAAAATGGACATCCAGCATCCTTCTTATAATCTGCTGTTAGTTGGATCTCCCGTAAACAGTTTCATAGGGCTATAGTTCCAAGCGCGAAACAGTTCTTAGGATCTGTGAAGGCTCACTCCTGCTGCATTCTAAATGAGAAAATAGTGGTGAATTTAGGCAGAAATGTGGAATAGATAAAGAATCAAATTACATGTTTTTTAGCAAAGAATTTATGCAGTTGTGATTTACCTTGAGTTCATGAATATTAGATCAGGTCAGCTACAATTACTTGTGAAAAGCATAACATGGACTTAGCACCGTATCACAATGCTTTTATTATTTCACTCCCATTTAAGTGTTCCCATGCATCTACGTCTAGTTTAACAGGAAGACATACAAGCAGAGTTAGTGTCTGATTCTTAAGTTTCTTAACACTTGTCCACAGCCAGCTGCATTTAATTGAGACACAGAACACTCATCTTCAAAGACTGTATACTGCTCTTCTGCAGGCAAGTAAAAGCTCAGACAATTAGCTATCCTGCTACAGCTGTTATTGCTGGGGAAATTTTTAATGACAGTGGTCTTGAAACATGAACAGTGTTAGACGTACTGTCTACAAATAAACACCAAATGTACTTAAAGCTATCATATAATACATAACAGCAACAGCATCAAAGGCACTTTTTTTTCTTATTTTTAATCAGACTGATCTGAATCAGTATACTCACTAAAAACAGACACCTCTACTTACTAAACTGCTCCGTTTCGTTACAGGCTCTAAACACTATACATAATTATACTATAATTCTATCGACTAATCGAAGTTATAACGGCAACCAAGAATTCTAAACTACGCAAATGATATAATTATCGTTAAAATTGCACTGACATGTTGCTAAACGGAGTAAAATGAACAAAATTCAGCCGATAAAACCAAAACATTAAATATAGGCCATTTGAATTTACCTAACAGATGACAAAGGATATATATGTATTGCTTTCACGCTGAAGACATCAGTCATGAAAACATAGTTTTCAGTACAACAAACATTTCTTCAGCAAAATCACGCACTGATGGTCTATCTGGAAACATTCAACTATGTGATTAAACTAACTATGACTTGAGATATCATTCCAGCGTTCAATGAAAGTACAGTGTAACGCTGCCAGGAATGGCGAATGAAAATTAAAAATAGAGCAAAATAACAACAACAAAATCTAGTTATTTAATTAAAAATAGATTATGAAATGACGAATTCTCTGGTTACTTGAACGCACAGATTACTGTTATTACACCGGGAGATACATTAAGTTTACATGATTACGTTGCAGATAAATTCACCCCTCACACAGCTACTTGTTTTGAGGATTTATTTAACTCTCTAGTGCATACCTGACTAATTGAAGGGTATTATTCAAATGAAAGTAAAACTTACAGGTTAGCTACGTGGCTGTTTAATTTTTAAACTTCAACAGCAAACTGGGTAGCTCGTCGATCTTATATATTAACATCTGTCCGGTTGACGAAACCTGATAATGAACATTAACTAATTATTGTAGGTAAGAGATTCGCGTTGAACGTATGTACAAATGAATGAATATTGAAAAGCGACCTTCTCAAGTTTTGGACATCGAACACGATATTATACGACCTTATGTGTTGAGAACTTAAATACGTTACTTAATACTGCGCACTTCATTCAGACTATAGCTTCGTCATAATGAAAATTCACCATAGTAAACAGATGCGCCCACCTGGTCTGTGGGAATGATTTTTGGAATCTTGACAGTTTTTAATATTATTTCCTTCACAATAACCAGTAAGTTATTTTAATTATTTAAGCGTTGTATTATTGCTACGATTTACAACATAAGTAGGGGAGTGGACTTATTGTGTAGGGCCAGTGAAATGTCACTGAGCCCTAGACAAATCATCCGGCAGTTGGATCACTGAATGTCAAACAGATCGTCGCATTAGTTAATGGTATGCCATGGACTGGCCCATGCGGCAGTGGTCTTACTTTCGCTTGTATCTAATTTAACTAATATATTTCCGTAATAACGTCATTTGTGTTGTACAGTCTTCAAAGCATCTATAGTACCTTGTTACGTCAATGGGGGTAGTCCACGTAAGGTGCTGACCACGAGGTGTGACTTCGACGTTAGTTGGTTCGTCACATCATTCACGTCTAACTCGAGTAGGCCTCCAATCACTTCGACATAAATCATCTACGTTGGTGATCTACAATTGTCTTCCTAGACTAGTCCATGAACTTGTATAGGCCTTTGTCTAATACCTGCATACTTAAGGCATAGTGTCAAATTTGTTTCGTCTGTGTTTCTCTTGTCCAAGTTTACTGTTTAGTATCTTTCTTGCCCATAGCGTGCCAACTCAAGGAACCTTGAGTTATTTCGACTCTTTGCACTTAAAGGACTACGATCATACGTTAGTTGGAATGGAGACCAACTGAACAATCATTCAGAAAAATACATACAACTAATTAACATCAGTGTACATTCCAATATCTTATTTAGAACTCTAGAATATTTGACTGGCTGTTGTTTGGTCTACTGACTTGAGCTAACTATTTGACCATCTAAAGTAGCTGAAGATCTTAAAGCACTGTGGTTTTTGAAGAGAAAGATGACCTAGTAACTATTTTTCTCAAACGTTCGATTCAGATAGCATATTTATGACGTCTTTTGACTCTGCATAGAATAAAATTACACAATCTTTCGTGTATACCGGTACATTCGAATAAACCGTGTTGACCGTAGTTTTTTAAAGACCGGTTGATCCATTAAGATGGGTAAGCTTATATATTATCAACTCCTTTGTATAAGTCCAAAAACTGATAAAGACGGGTGAATATTTTGTTTCGTTCAAATAGGAAGTTTTATTTGAGTTACTTAACAAGGATAAGAAGCATTGACAGTTCTGTTCCGGTTAATTGTCACCCAAAACTTTAGTTAGGCTGATTTTCAGACTTATACGGGAGCTTCTTCCTTTACTGCTATGTTAAGTAGACTATTATCTTAAATCTATTATATTTTATGTATATTTTGCATGTCGACAGCATTATAAATTGGTAAGCTGATTGCGTAATCAATGAGTGCACGTTTTGTATACGGCTGAAGTTTAAGTAGGCAGTTTACAGTGGTTCGATGTTAAGTATGAAGCGTTAGACGGTGTATTTCAAATCGCTTCTCAAACGAATACTAGTCTTTTTTTTCATGTCTAGGCTCCAAAACCAATCTCTTTGCGGCTTGCTTCCCAACTTAAAAATTGATTTGAGGTTTTATTATAGACATGCAGTTGTGTTGCAGGATCACGAGACAGGACTTAGTGTCTAGAAACATTTACAGAATCAAAACTCACTGAGGAATGAGTTTCTTGGTTTTAGAAAAGAGTGTTTGCCCCATTTAGTGGATTCTGAATTGGTTTATTATTGCACTCAGCGGCTTATGTGTATTGTAGAAGCTTTTGTTTGGTGGGATGAATCTTTACTTCCGTCTGAATGTCTAAACATGAATAGAATTCTATTCATATTGTCTTGCAAATGCCTGTATACAATCCGAAACCAAAAATGCCATGAAGATCGAAATTGTATGCTTTGCTTACTTAATTACTTACGCCTGTTACTCCTCGTGGAGGAGCATAGGCCGCCCACCGACACTCACCATCCAACCCTGTTCCGGGCAATCCTTTCTGGTTGTTATTCGTCCTTTTCATGTCCGCTTCTATTTTCCGACGTAAAGTGTTCTTTGGCCTTCCTCTTTTCCGCTTCTCTCCAGGGTTCCAAGTTGGGGCTTGCCTCGTGATGCAGTTTGATGATTTGCGTAATGTATGTCCTATCCATTTCCATCGTCCTTCCCTAATTTCCTCTTTGGCTGGAAGCTGGTTTATTCTCTCTCACAGACAACTATTTATAAATACTCGTACCTCCTTGATGATGGTTGTCGTAGTTCTACAAGTTCCAGCTCCGTACAGTAGGACTGTCTTGACGCTCGTATTGAAGATTCTGACATTGATATTGGTTGAAAGTCCACCTGTAGTTCTCCCAGAGTTACTGCCGGTCCCAAGCTCAGGTTAAGGATGAGGGTTGGGCATAAAGTTAACGAACTCATCCCGTAGAAAACTAACTCTCTATAAAAACGCCAACCGGAAAAAATAATTCAAAAATTGTATAGTTGCTCATACATCTGTAGGTTTAGAACTAAGGGCGATTTCAATATTTACTGGTAATTTGAAGAAGTATGTTTTGGCATTAGGTCATCTGTGAATGATCAATAGTAATGTAATTACCATAATATTACTAGTAGACGACCTTTCACACAGAAGGAGGCCTAATTCCAATAGTTTGTCGTGAATAAATTGATCACACGTCGTACGTAAAACGAGTACAAGAAAACATTTTTCGTTTAATAGCCAACTTGGTGTATTGAATCATTAGTAGAATTGACTGAAAATGTTTCAACTGGTAGTCAGGTAACTTCGTCAGATGTCATTGTCTTTTTATCGTTTTTTTGTAACTATTCCTGGACGTTATGACGAATGAACCTGACTTATACACTAAACTAGTCTTATGGTGAGAGTTGTTACCACTTTCAGTTTGTTATTAATCTGCCAATTTTCAAAATTCGTAAATTTGGGCAAATATTGTATTTTTGACGAAAGACTTAGGTTTGATTAACCTTTTGATAATCATCTCCCTTCAGTTGAATGAGGTCAGGAATCTTGTGTTAAATTTTGTTTTAAACGACATCATCGTTGATCATTTACCGTGACTAAAATAATTTAAAATGTCTTAAGTTTTGTGTGTTTGGTCTTTTTTTCGATATGTTTTTTGTGTTTTATTTAAAGTACACGTTTTGTATTTTTCCCTTTTCTCGATTTTCATGAGCATGGTTTTTTTACTTAGTTTTTTTATATTTCCAACCTGGCAGTTTTTGATTAGTAATTTTCTAGTGAATTCGTGCTTTTTTATAACAAACGAATATACTTGTCTTTTCTTTTTGCTATCTTGAAGTACATATTGTCCGTTTTCGATATCTTTAATCATATGTTTCGTTTTTACCTGTCTTCATGCTTAGTGATTACTTAAGATTGCACTCAAAGCCGTTATTTTTATATCTTGCTAAATGGTTTAATGACAAAACTATAGAAACGGTCGTTCCTCTTTACTACATTTGTCGGTTTACTAGATATTAGCAGTAAACTTTCAATAAATGTTTTTAAGATAATCATGTTTTTCAAAAGACTTTAAGGACAACCACCTTTATTACTTGTTTCTTCATTGTTATGTTAGTTTCATTGATAATAAATTGAGACAAATCTTGGATCATTACTTTGACATTATGTAGAACAGAGCCTAAACGTTTTAGTCAGGCAGAGTTTTTAGAGATTGCGGCCGGCACTGATGGCCATTTACTTTATATATAGCCATATTTTCTGCACCACGTTTTCTGGTAGGAAAAAATAGAATTTGAAAAGCAAAAGGCTTATTTGACATTCAATATAATAATACTTCAATGAACAAAAATCTGCTTCAATTCTAGCTTATCCTTGGATTGCTATGTAATGGACTTACGCTTTGAATTGTGATTATGTGTAATGTAATCAAAATTTGTATGCGGTTTTGATAGTTTAATTCTTGGTTGAGTGTGAGCTTATTTACTTTCTTGTAGTGACTAGTTAACCCCCATTGTTTTCTTTTGACCTACACGTTCATCTTTAAGAACTGAAATACACAAAAATCAAAATAATAATACAGTTTTTTATAATGAATTCCTAAACTTTACACAAATCAACTATTTTTAAGAATAATTTTCGTTTTCACTAAACGTGTACAATGGTGAGGAGAAAACATTCATAACATCTCTTCCTAGTTTTTAATTTACCTTATTCCAATTCTGCAAGGTGCATAAATACGTCTGAGGCAAACTTAAGCAATGGATCAATTGCTTGTTGACTGATTTAAGCGAGCCAGCTAATAAAATACTTCACAAATACATTTTCTTCATCTCTTGTACTTTAATCCGATCAAAAGAGAATTACTGATTCAGTGTGAAAACCCGCCATTATGATACTGCAAGTGTGTATTCGCTTGGTAAATAATTAATTGACTAATGCCTAACACTAGTTGGTCAGCTAGCACAAATCTGAATGTTAATCTAACAACAAGCGGCTCCTTAGAAGTGACTTACTCAAATATAAATTCGGTTTATTTTTTGATCAAATAAATTTATACTAGCAGTCTTTGTGCATTAAACACGCGTCGTCAAATATGAAGTTTCCAGCACCAAGCATAAATCGCTTAAGTATCATGAAACACAAAAGTTACGACGTGTTGTATCGAGCCCACATAGGAATACTACAGTGACGCATGTAGCAACTCGATGACCTCTAAACAACAAACTATAAATTCATCTTAACCTGCATAAATGAATTTGACTTTATCAGAAATTAGAATCGCTAATACTGATTACGATTAAACAGGTATATTTTTATTACATAATCATTGTTGATGCCACACTAAACAAGTGGAATAACAAAAAATTACATTCGGAACATTATCGAGCTTGTGTTTAATTGTGATTGATCAAGATAATAAAGTTTTATTTTGTGCTTATTAATTCCCAAATAAGTCAATGTTTCTCTCCTATATAAATACATGTAAATGCTCTGTAAAAACAAGAACGGATATAAATTCATTTTCACTTTGATCATAAAAAATTTATTTGAAATGTTGCTAGAAATATACCAAATATCTTAGGGTACACAAGCAAAATATTTAGATACAATGTTTTTCAGTGATGT